TCTTAGTTTTGACAATTGTATGAATATAAAAAATGTTAAAATTAAGGGAGGCTCTGTGAAGGTCTTTGGGAACCCTCAATACTACTTGGAAAACTTTTCTGACTGTCTAATATTATCACAAAATTAAAAGTTAAATAATAAACTTCTAAAGAAAAAAGGAGAAAATCTTTGCAATTTGGGGGAGCAAAAAGTATAAACCAGACAAAAACACATTAAATTTAGCTTTATTATTACATCCTGTTTTTCTCTTCAAAAGACATGGTTAAGAAAATAAACCACGCCAAAGATTGGGGAAAATATTTGTAATATGTGTATCTGCCAAAAGACTTGTAACCAAAATACATAAATAACTTTTACAACTCAACAGTGAAAACAGAAACAAACTTCTAAATATAAAAATAACTTCATTGACGCCTCACAGAAGAAGAAGTAATGGTCCTAAGTGCATGATAAGATGCTTAACATTAGTCATCAGGAAAATCCAGATAAAAATGAGACCGAGGGCTTCCCTGGTGGCGCAGTGGTTGAGAATCCACCTGCCGATGCAGGGGGCATGGGTTCGTGCCCCGGTCCAGGAAGATCCCACATGCTGCCGAGTGGCTAGGCCCGTGAGCCATGGCCGCTGAGCCTGCGCGTCCGGAGCCTGTGCTCCACAACGGGAGCGGCCACAACGGTGAGAGGCCCGCGTACCGCAAAAAAAAAAAAAAAAAAAAATGAGACAGAGCTACATACACAAATAGAATGGATGAAATGAAAAAGACTAACCATACTAAGTGTTGGTGACAATGTGGAATATAAAATTACTCATGATGGAAATATAAAATTAGATAACCAGCTTGGAAAACAAATTTGTACTTTTTAGAAATTTTAAATATACAACTAACATATGACCCATCCATTCCACTCTTAAGTACTTACCCAGGAGAAACACACAAAGACTTGTATATGCATGTCCATAGCAGCTTTATTTAAAATAGCTCCAAACTAGAAATAACCCAACTGTCCATCAGCAGATATGTGGTTAGAAAAATAAAACAATAAGAATGAAGAAATTACTGGTGCCTGCAATCACATGGTTAAGTCTCAAGATCATTATGCTGAGTGAACAAGGCCAGACATAAAAGAGTACTTACTACATAATTCCATTTCCATAAATACAAACTCCTTCATACTGACAGAAAACAGATCAGTGGTTGGCTGGGTTGAAGGTAGAGAAAGGGCTTGACTACAAAGGGGCACCAGGAGTCTTTTGGGGGTCATGGAAATATTCTGCTTTTTTAGTGTATTGGTGGTTTCATGGATGTGTGCATCTGTCAAAATTCATTTAATGGTACACTTCATATGTATGCAGTTTACCATTCCTAAAACATACTTCAAAAAATTTGATAAAAATAAAATGAAATAACAGCATAATTTACAATTTGGAGACACCTCAGAGCTCATTTAGTAGCCTTCCGTGAGAAGGGGATCATAGTTTAGAATCTAGATTTTTTTTGCTTCCCAGCCTGTGCCGTATTAACTACATAAATATGTATATGTATACCTATATAAGTGAAAATTCAGAATACTCCAGGACATAAGACTTTGAATCTTCTTGTTTAAATTCTGAAAGCAACTTATTTTCAAATATGTACCTCTGGACTACTTTGTCTTTCTCGCTAAAAGCGGGGAGGGAAGGCCACTGGGTTCTCAGAACATACTAGTTTGCCTGGCTTTGCCAGAAATGATAGGAATTCCTATTAGGATACATTTCCAAGCCCTGGAAATGTTTTCAATAAACCATGAGGAGTTTTGGCTCAACCTCCTGTTCAGTTCATGCCTCTTGGGCTTCACAGAATACTCAATCTGCAACATGTGCTAGAGAACTGGATGAGGCTATGATGGAAAACTTCTGCTATCATCTGCTACTTTGCTTTTTCTTTCATTCAGTTCTCCATTTCCACCTGCATGGGAAAGGAAACCTCAGACTCGCGGCAGAATGGGAGGTAAGGGCTAACCCTTCCCAGGTCTTGGAACTAGCCCTCAGGGATCTCTCTTATCCAACACATCTGAGCTAGTCCCAGAATCTTCATCTTGTCATTTGCAACACTCAGTGCAAAAGAAGTGTTTGAACATTATTTTACATGGCACACTCCAGCATTTATCTGGAACACAAAAAAGTTCAGTTCAAACACGTGACTGGAGCTGGGGAATATATAAAGGGTATCTAAGCACTTGGTGGGATCAGAATCTTGTAGAGGATACAGATGCAGTAGTTGACCATTTTGTACCCTATGCATAGAGATATATGTTGGATATTTATGGAGGCTATTCTTTTTTCCCTGAAATGAAACCCAGATGGAATAAAACACAACAGAGAAATTTTGACAAAGAAAGGTTTAAATTTTATCTTAAAAAATTAGAAAAGGGCAAAGTCCAAGTAGGAACTTTTTTGGTTGTAATTTCCTTTTTGTGAAGCAAATGTTTGGATAACCTTAAAACCAATCTTACTACTTTGTCCCTCTTTGACAATGATATCAGGCTGTTTTATTCAATAGAATGATGGAATGGGTCACCTCTGAAGTCCAACTCTTGGAAACGACTCTACATTTATAGCCCTAGATGCTGCCAGCCTTCCATTCAGGTCTCTGGGACTCTAACAAGAAGGGTTGGTTCCTCTGACAATTCTTTCTATCTTCTTACATGTGGCTGTATCTGTTCTCAAACTTCTGGCTCTTCCCACCAGGTCTTTACAAAGATGCAGATGTTTCTTAAAAGTGGCAAGAAGATCAAAGGGACTTTTTGTGCCTGATGTGCTAGAATGGCTCGGAGTTCTGTTAAATCAGATTTGGACATAAAATAAAACCAGTAACTAGTGGTTTGCAAAGGTTGCTGGTGAAAGAATGGAGCTTCATAGGTCAACATTGCAGCACACAAAAATATGCCAGGTTCAATTGTCTTTTTCTTTTTAATTGTATCTGGAGATAGAAAATCAACAAAATGGATGCCGCTATACATTACAGCTGATTTGTTTTAGAGTATTAGTGCTTCTGCAATTAATTAGCCCATGTCTATGGACTATCGCTTGCTTCTTTTTTATTCTAAATATGACCAAAGAGTGTAGTTACCAAATGTAATGATGGCTCAAAGCAGAATTTAATATACAAACATAAAATGAGCATTGGCTTCATGCAAAGCACTGCATAGGAACTGAGGAAACAAATAGAAGCTTTTCCTACCCACACAGAGGACACACGCTAAAGGGAAGAATAAAACAGTCATGTAACTGCAATATACATAAGTCCCATAAAATTGTACAAAACGTTTATGGACTCTGAAGAGAAAGAGCTCAAATCCAGTTGATATACATTTTATCTTTGATGTACTTAAATTACTTCTGAAGCTATCTTTCCTTTACATCCTGGGGTACCTGCTTTGATTCTCAGACTTGCTGTCAAGTGATTAGTAATCCTGATAAGGTTTTTTGTTTGTTTTTATTTTTAATTAATTAATTTATTTATTATTTTTGGCTGCATTGGGTCTTAGTTGCGGTACATGTGATCTTCGTTGAGGCACGTGGGATCTTTTGTTGCAGCGTGCAGGCTTCTTTCTAGTTGTAGCATGCGGGTTTTCTCTCTCTAATTGTGGTGTGCAGGCTCCAGGGCGCATGGGCTCTATAGTTTGCGGCACCCAGGCTCTCTAGTTTAGGCACGTGGGCTCAGTAGTTTTGGTGTACGGGCTTAGTTGCCCCGCGGTCTGTGGGATCTTAGTTCCCTGATCAGGGATCAAACCTGCATCCCCTGCATTGGAAGGCGGATTCTTTACCATTGGACCACCAGGGAAGTCCCCCTGATAAGGTTTTAAATGATAGGGTGTTTGCAGATATGACCTGTCTCAAGTATGTTTGCATTTTAAAGCTATACAAATCCACAGGAATGAAACTATTGATATAATAACAGGCAGAAGGGTTGATTTATTTGCTGTAGGTCCTTGACTGACCTCTTAACATCTTTCAGTTAAACCATTACATTTAAAGATAACCATGGTATATCTTTGATTTAGGTAAGCTCTCTGGATGTGTTCTACAGTTCTCTATTTTACTTTTTTAATAAATGTATTTATTTAATTTTCGGCTGCATTGGGTCTTCATTGCTGCTTGCGGGCTTTCTCTAGTTGTGGCTAGCGGGGGTTACTCTTACTTGCAGTGCGCAGGCTTCTCATTACAGTGGCTTTTCTTGTTGTACAGCACGGACTCTAAGCGTGTGGGCTTCAGTAGCTGTGGCATGCGGGCTCAGTAGTTGCGGCTTGCAGGCTTTAGAGCGCAGGCTCAGTAGTTGTGGTGCACGAGCTTAGTTGCTCCGTGGCATGTGGGATCTTCCTGGACCAGGGCTCGAACCCGTGTCCCCTGCATTGGCAGGTGGATTCTTAACCACTGCGCTACCAGGGAAGTCCTAGTTGTCTATTTTAAAAGCTCTACAATATTTGTTTCTACTGTGATATTAGACATTTCTCTCTGAAATTGGCATTATTCTTTGCAATTGAGCTATAATTTTCTTACAGTTGAGACACACTGAATTTTTAATTTAAGTGTAAAGGAGGAACAGAAAGGGGTCTGATCCAATAGATGATACTTCTGTGCTGAGCTTTGATAAGAGCTCGCCTAAGAGGCATCTAGCAAGCAGACTGGATGGTCATTCCAATGTGAATGAAAAGGAAACTGAATCTTAAAATATCAGAAAAATGCACATAACTAAGAGAAAAAACACAGCAGCTTGAGAACTGGATTCTTCTCTTAGTGTGTACTTTTCTCCTACAGCCTAGAATTTTCTTAGGCACCAAGAAAGAAACCTCATGAACTTCCTTGCATTTCTAAAATTCTATGATCCTATGATCTCACTTTCCATTTGGGTACAATTTACATACTTTGTCAGTGAATTTGAGTGATACCCTATGTTTGAGAGAAAAACAGTTGTCTTTCTTTTAATTTAATAAATACTTACTGAGAAACTTTTGTGTTTCAGACTTGGTGCTCTGTGCTGAAGTCATAGAAGAATGAATGGTCAGGCTCTCAGATGGATTACTCTCTAGTGAGTATCTAGATTGTTATTAAACATTCAAACTACAAAAAAACCCAAAACATTGCAGGCCGTAGATAAAGAGGTAAGCATTTCATTTTCACTTTATTTATTTTTTCAGTGACTTTATTTTTATTATTTAAAAACAACTTTATTTTATATTGGAGTAGAGTGGCTTAACAATGTTGTGTTAGTTTCAGGTGTACAACTCATTTCCACTTTAAATATTCTTTGTCATCTCTTTCTCATCACTGTCACCACATTTCATTATTTGGAGTGAAGGTGTTTCTCATCTTAAGGAATTGAGTTTGTGGTTCAGCCCTTTTAAGAGAAAAGACTTTGTAAAAATTGTAAGAAATGACAGTTGCTGCCATGGTATTTCTAAAAAATTTATTATTTCTAAGTCTTATGCAAGGATGAGATACAATGAGTGTTTTTAGCATAGTTAAGCAAGGGTGTAATAAAATAATTAAGATATGAAGAATATAACTCAGGCTAATTCATATTTATTCCATATGGAATTCTTTTCCAATGAACAGAATTTTTTATTCTAACATGGTTTACTTGAGCATGGAATTCTATATTCTACATTTAACATGGGATTCTTATTTTCCACTCTAGCCAAAGTAGTTTATTTACTGAGGTAACAACAAAACATCATTTCATTATGAAATAAAGACTGCTGTAGATTCTGGAAATAAATTAATCAGCAATAAAGACAGAGGGCTCAACAATAGGAATATCCACATGTCTTACAGGGGACAGTGGAGGTCAGACGGCTGAGAAAAGTTAGTATTACATGATACTTTTAGAGAGCGTTCTGGTTCTGCAAAACTCCTGCCATTAACTACCCATGCATCTCTTTTAAGAAGTTGTCCATTTTACTTAAAGATGACATCCACCTTGTTGCTATTCCTACCCTGTTGTACCTGCCTTGAACCACAAAGGTCCTTTAACAGTGAAAGTTATGCCACCTGCTAAGCAGATGGATTGCAGAAATAGTCCAATTTGTTGAGCCATTGACCAGGGGGTGTTGTTAAGTATTTGTAATCTAATAGGTGATATGGTAACATTTATGACTTGGAAGCCTAGAAGTTAATTTTTTTGGTCTCATTTTGTTTTAAGAAAATAAGAAACCTATTAGGCATCTGAATTTGAGTAAAAAAAAAACTTGTTTTCACCTTTTCCTATATTTGTACATTATTGAATTGTGTAAACCCTATCTAGAGCAAGGCTCTGAGGACAGAATGACTAAGTCAAATCCTGGCCTTGATACTCACTAGCTCTGTATCCTTGAGAACTTCACCACCTCAGCTGCACCATCCATAAAATGGGGATAATCACTGTACCTAATTCTTTTGGTTATGCTTATATTAAGTGAGGAAAAAAACCTTACAATTATCTCATCTTTTTAAACACTATCATACATTTTTACCTATTAACATGCTCAAAATTTTCCACTTCCTAATGCCCAATCTTCATATTTGATGAAAGGAGGGCAGACCCGAGTTCTTACACCTCTTTTGTTTTTACTTTCTTAATTTTTCCTATTCAAGAATATTGACTTGGATTTAGAGCAAAGTCATTGTGTACTATTATTTGTTGGTTTAAATTACACAGCAGCTTTTGCTTTATCATGAAGTTCTCCAGAAAATTCTATTGTTCATACCCATAAATTTTAGTAAATGGGTAAGCAAGAAAACAACAATATTTACAGATAAGCACTTTTGGGACAGTCCTTTGACATTTGGAACAAAATTACCGTATTCTTTTTGGTTGTTTAAACTATATAAACTACACAAGCAGCATGTACATTTCACAGATGATTTCCTGGAAACTCTATTGTTCATACATTCAAATTTTAGTCAATATATTAACTGAAACAATCATGTATTGAGGTAAGCATATCAGAGTCGCCCTGAATCATTTTTTCTAGCTGTGATGATAATGGATTTTAATGAAAAAGCAGGGTTTGTTTTGCTCAGTAACTGCTGGAAGTTTTTAATGCCTTCGTATTGGATTAGAGCACTTACATGGCAAGAATCAAACTGAGACATGAAGGAATAAACATCATTCCTTGCCTCAGGAATGAAAAACAAAAGAACAAAACATCCCAAAGGTAGCACAGGGGCCAATATTCCAGGAGAAAGCAGAAAAGTTTCTTTGGAACCCATACATATCAGGTAACCTAACCCAGGTAACAGCCAGAAGAGGGAACAGACTTCAGTATGAAAATGGTAGTTATTTTTGTAATGAGAAAACACATAGTTTACTTTTTCTTGTTATACTAATGAGAAAGTTAAGTAAGTCTAGGGACTATCAAGATACTTTCAGTTTCATGCTTTTTAGATGTTCATAAAGTAAATATTAATGATATGTATGAGAAACCATTGGCAAAGATTTTCTAAGAAAAATGAGGCTGCTGGAGTCTTAAATTCTTTTTACTATCTCAATTTACTTGCTGCAGTCAGGCAATTGAGTGCTGCCCATTGAGAGGGGTGAGGTATGTGAATATTGTTGTAGGGTAATACTTGTAATATCAAAGAATGCTACCTCAGAAAATAATTCAGAATCATTCTAAGTTTTGTAGTCTTCCAGAGTTGGATTTTACAGATTGGATCTCAAAATACCACACTGGGATGGGGTACAGAGGTGAAGCAGCAGATCAGACGTTTTAGTTGTGTGAACTTTTCTTTCCTAATATCATTGGTGATATCTTAAAGACATCTGAGATTGCTCTGAAAGTGGTGCAGAACCTGGGAATATTAGAATATTATGTTATGATTTGCTTCTTTTCCTGTTAAAGGACTCTAGCTTAGCCATTGTATTTGTCAGTGTTCTCTAGAGAAATAGAACTAACAACACTTGTGACACCAGATGGGTGTTTTTTTCCCCACACCAAGCAAATCTGGGACACCAGCTGGGTGTCCTGCAATTTAACTCAATTCTGACACTGTCTACTTGGAGATAGCGTCAGATCCCTCAAGTTAAGTGCTCAGTCCCAGGAGACTATACTACAGATGCCAATCACAAGTAATTGGTCCCCAGGTTACCCACAAATTCTGTCTAACTTGACTACAAATTGGAGGTTCCTATAACCTCCTCCCTCTTGGATTTGATTATTTGCTGGAATTGCTCACAGAACTCAGGGAAACACATTTACCACTTTATTAAAGACATTATAAAGTATACAGATGAATAGCCAGATGAAGAGGTACATAGGGCGAGGTATGTGGGGAGGGACTTGGGAAGTCCGTGTCCTCTCTGGGCATGCTTTTTTGAACCTGGAAGCTCTCTGATCCCTGTCCTTTTGGGCTTTTATGGAGGCTTCATTACATAGGCATGATTGATTAAATCATTGGTCTTTGGGCTTCCCTGGTGGCGCAGTGGTTGAGAATTCGTCTGCCGATGCAGGGGACACAGGTTCGTGGCCCGGTCTGGGAAGATCCCACATGTCGCGGAGCGGCTGGCCCCGTGAACCATGGCCGCTGAGCCTGCGCGTCCGGAGCCTGTGCTCCTCAGCGGGAGAGGCCACAACAGTGAGAGGCCCGCGTACCGCAAAAAAAGAAAAAAAAAAAAATCATTGGTCTTTGATGATTGAACTCAATCTTCTTCCTCACTCCACTCCCTGGAGGTCGAAGGTGAGGAGTGAGATTGAAAGTTTCAATCCTCTAATCACAAGGTTGGCTTTACTGGCAAACAACTCCCTCCTTAGGTTACCTTGGAAAGCTTTCCAAAAGTCACCTCATTAACATAACAAAAGGCACCTTCGTTGCTCTCAACACTTAGGAAATTCCAATGGTTTTAGGAGGTCTGTGCCAGGAAGGGGAAGAAGACCAAGTATATATTTCTCATTATCAATCACAATATCACACTTAATAAACCTAGGGACTATACATAATACTCGAAGTAATAACTCCCGTCCTTGTAAATATTTCTATGTCACATTTGAAGTTTCGAACATTGGACTGATTGGCTTTAGAACAAGTTTATTTGGAGGCAAAAAGTGATGACCAGGATATTAATAACGTGAGAGATGCATTTCCTTTGTGGACTTCCAAGTTGGAGTCTGAATATTTATGGTGTGTTTCAAGCTATCCCTTGCTCTCACCCCATTCTTTCTTCCTAAACAAGGGACTAGCTGCTTATATGCTGAGAAGATTGCCCTGAAGATGTTACAGTTTCAGGTGCTTTTCAGTGTTTTGTTTTCTGACAAAGTGCAGCGGTCACATTTTCAGAAAGCAAGAAGAGGTGTGGGAGGAGAAGAGCAAAAAGGGGGAAAGGTATGAGGTTAGATGGACAGCATAGTGGATGATTGAAGGTCATGGGAGTGATAAGGTAGACTACACCTGGAGACCCTTGTGATGTAATCAAGAAAGCTGAGACCTTCATGCCACGTCTAATTGTACGTGTAACTGTACTTAAAGCATGTAAAAACCAAGGAACGACCCAATCCTGGTTCATACGCGTTTATAATTCATGGAATTTTTACTAATTATCTATGGACAGAGTATGACCTACCATGTCATCTTGCTTTGAAATGCTTCTTTTGACTTTCCTGAGGGATCTCAAACTTACTGCTCTGTTGATTTTCCTAGTCATTTACACATTGTATTAATTTCCTATTGCTGCTGTGAAAATCGCCAAAAAGTTGAGGGCTTAAAACAACATAAATCTATTTTTTCACAGTTCTGGGAGTCAGAAGTATAGAATCAAGATGTCAGTGGGGGTGTGTTCCATTGGGAAGCTTCAGGGGAGAATCCATTCCCTTACCTTTTTCAGTTTCTAGAGGCCGGCTGCTCCCCTTGCCTCATGACCCCTTCTTCACTTCACTCCAACCTCTTGCTTCCATGGTGACCTTTTCTGCTACTCACTCTGATCCCCCTGCCTCCCTCTTGTAAGGACCCTTGTGATTACATTGGACCCAGTTAGATAATCTAGGATAATATTCCCATCCCCCAATCCTTAGTCACATCGGAAACATCCCTTTGAACATGTAAGGTGACATATTC